CGTCCTCATGTCAGCACATACAGACATGAAATCACATAACAACATATCAACCAATGAATCTCATCAGCATGATCATCATCCCGTCATCAAATCATCATAAAGATCATTTAAATAGTCATTTGCACTTACACTGCTGGAGTCATCACGACGTCCCAATCCTTGAGGCAAACCATTGATTACGACTAGCGTAGAAAGAAGAACGAATACGATTGAGTGCACCATTGTAGGTATTGATAGAGTGATATGGATGTGTGATTAAGTGGTTGATTATATGTTATATATGATATCAGATATTTCTTGTTGTGAAGGTTTCATGGAGTTGGGTGCTTGGCTTTTGGTAGATGGGCCCCCGTGACGCGAATTCATTGGTCGGCTTCGTTTCGAAATGTAACGGAAAGAGAAATTAAAAGGTGGTTTACGCGTCGTAAAACAATGTCATCCAAACTCAGTTAGCTTCAGTTAAGATTTTATTTGCAAAGCAAGCAACATACAAAATTGAGGAGAGAGAATTTTTTATTCTTTGAACTGAGTTATCAATGCTTTCAGAGCGCTTCCCCATATTGTTTTGAAGTAGTCAATAGCCCTTCAGTTGCGGCAGGATTTTCGCTAAAATGTTAGACCTGAGCACTTGATGCAACAGATGCTTCAACACCTTTAATACTTTACCTCCAATGAGAAAGGGCTTGTGGAACCATTTGATTCAAATCCAGCCATGAACAGTTTTTGGATTTTCACCTACATTTCGGTAAGGAAACATTCAAGTTCCAGAAGTGATTAAATACAAGCACTTACCTTCAGGGAAGACACACAAGCGGGTCATTGGGCAGTAGTTCTCAGAGCACGGCATTTGAGGAGCCAAAGTATGAGTTTCCAACATGTGCATTTGACCTATTTGAATTTCGGTACCAGATCGTACGTGAATTCTATCCAAACTGCCTTACCAGTGTCATAACGAATCACAATTTCCACTTCTCGGACGAGTTTTTTGGTAGATCCGACTAGGTAAAATTTGAATCAGAGAAACAACGTCTCCTTTGATCGCCTTTGCAAACCTACCAACAGGTTGATGAATAGGCAAGACATATTCCAAAGTTCTCATGAAAATTTTAAAAATGGCGTCAAGAATATGATTGCCTTAAGTGACTGTCGACGAAGTCCTTGTTCTGCAGTCGCAGGTGTTTGCTAGTCACCAATCTTCACAATCTACAAAAATGACCGTACGCTTCAGTTAATCTCGCAGTACGAGTTCCTTTTAGGGTACATACTAGTAGATTTCTTCATTTCATGTACTTTTCGAATAGCCAACGCGTCGTTCCCTGCCACAAAATCCCAAACGAGGGTTGACTCTAGCATTCAAAGTGATGTTCAAGGCCTCCATTTCATGAAACTGTTTATCACAGTTGTCTCGAGAGACTGGAATTGGTAGGTGCTGAGTGGCTGCCATCGTTTACTTGTCTTGATTTGCGATTGGGTATGAGTTGTTTTTTGGTGTTGACGGATGTTGTCAAAAGGTGCTCGGGGGTGTTGAATTGGACCATCTCAAACAGGCAAAATGGATTTATTACGTGGATATGACAGTGACGATGACGTGTTGGATGCTCAAGAGGATGCATCAATCGATGAATTGGACAACATTTTACCAAACTCAAAGCGAAAGCGTGAACAAGGAGTGGATGACAGCACCAAGTTCAAGTTGAATGGTAGCGAGCAGGAACGGTACGTTCCGGAGCTTCGATCTAGTAGGAAGCATCGAGATTAACATGTATCAACTAGACGAAAAGTTGTCAAAGCTCCTCCTCTGCCAGGAAAATTCGTATCTTCGCAGGACGAAGGTGATACCATTCTGAGCCAATTCAGACATGTTCGTGGAATTCATCCTTATTTTTAGGCAGGAAGAGTCAGTCAGAAGTCAACCCGATACGAAATGTACCACACATCGAAGGAAATTGGGCAACCTTTGTCTTTATATCAAGTATGTTGCATCAAAACTCGTGAAATCCTTGTTATAATGCTGATTTTGATTGTGATCTCTAGTTAAACCGCCAGAAGGACTTCAATCCGTCATCTTGGACTTGCTTCAACCATTTCCTGATTTGATTCCTTACGATTTCGCCAAAGAAGCACACCATATATCGTTATCACGGCCATTATTTCTCAAATTGTTTCAGATTGATCGCTTTATAACTCTATTGGAGGCCAGGATTCGCGTTCATAGAAGGTCTGGTGGGATTGAATGAAGAACATTAACAGACTCTGACCTCTTACCAACACTAGATTTATGATTTCTTTGGGTGAACCTGCTCATTTTGAGAATTCAGAGAAAACAAGACAGTTCTTGGGACTGACAGTGAACGCTGGAGTGTTGGAGGTAAACAGGGCAATGTCCATTTAGATTCTGATCTTGTCACTAACCAGTCAAATCTAGCTTGAAGGCATCTTGAAGGATGTCGATGCTATCGTATCCGAGTTTCGGCAACCTCTGTATTTTTCTGTAAGCTTCGATGCTTCTACTTTGCTTTGACTTTTACCCTAATCATAAAAATTCTAGCCTCCAGGATTTCACGTTTCAATTGGATGGAAACGAGGATCTGAGCCCCTTTCAGCAGACTTGATAGCACATGTGAAATCTAAATCAACTGTATTCACTCACTTTCATGCAAATGTTAGTGAAGTAAAATGTACTGTAGGCAATCGAAATTATACATGGCCTCTTCTGTAGTTATTTTATTTAACTGTGACAATACAACTGTTCGCACCAAGCTTTCATTTTCAGCTGTTTGATGTTTAGCACGAAATGCTGTTTAGGCTCTGACTCTTCCAGACATTTTGTTTGAGTTGGCTGTCATCAAGAACGGGTACGGGAATTGCCTAATAAGTTTGAAGGTTGTTAATTACAGTCGCTTTAGAATCAGCAGAAAGAGTGCTTACACATCAGAAGCCTTCTCCAAACGGGACATTTGATCAGCAGTCAACTCAAAGTCTCCAGCAGCCAAGTTTTGCTTCAGTTGCTCTGCTGTACGTGCTCCAATAATCGGGGCGCTGACTGTCTTTTTCTGTAGAAGCCAGCGTAAACTGACTGCCGAGTGTGGTTGCTTGGTTTCGGCTGCAATCTTGTCAACCTCTTCAAGAATGTTCCATGTTTGCTCCGTAGCAAACTATCGAGGTCCAAAATCAGTTAGTGCTGACTGTCGAATGACAATGCAGATATCGATATCGTCATACCGCCTAGAAGATCTGAGCGTTAATTGTTCAAATAGGCAATCATACTTCTCTGGACATTTCCCTTACATCAAAATTGGTCTCCCTCCAACCAATCTTTTGCGCCCATTCGACACGAGAACCAGCTTGCGGCTTGGTATCTCCTCGTTTGTAACGTCCTGCTAACCATCCCCCCTCTAAACATCAGATTGTGAGAACAGTGAGATAAGAAAACAGCAAAACGGGGAAAAACATACTCAATGGAGACCAAGGTAGACAGCCAACGCCTTCGTTCAAGCAAACTTGTTCCAAGTCCCATTCCCAGTTTCGTTCAAGAAGGGAGTATTGTTGTTGAATTGTCACAAATCCTTCCATGCCAGCGTAGTTAGCAAAGTCCATTGACTTTTGTAATTGCCATGCAGCAAAGTTTGAGGCGCCAATGTATCGGACCTTTCCAGACCGAATAAAATCGTTGAAGGTTGTCATGAACTCCTTGACTGGTGTTCCGAAATCCTTTGAACGAGAATCGGTCAGGAACGACTAGAGCAACGAGATTGCAGACTTTCTTACGAAATTGTGGGCCTGGTATAAATCAATGTAGTCCATGCCTATAAGAACGAAGTGAACGGAATCAGATCTAGCAGCTCCTTATAACCTTGAATTGAAATAGCTTGTACCTAAACGTTCCAATGACTTTTCGAGACCAGCAACCATGTGACGTCTCGATAGTCCGACATCGTTGGGTCCTTGGCCCATCCCACCAAATACCTTGGTAGCAATAACTTGAGAGTCACGATTCTGGTTTTTCTTCACCCACTTGCCGACTACGGTTTCACTCGCACCAGCACCATAAATGTCAGCTGTATCCTAAAGTATGAATACTGACGATCAAAGTTGGCAGCAAACATTGAGCCCCATTTTTATAGACTTACGTGAAAGTTGCCTCCTGCAGCCGTGAACATATCCATGATTTTGAACACTTCTGCTTCGTCCTTCTCGGTTGGAAGTTTCCATGGGCCATCATCTACGTGTTTTGGTAGATAATTAGTTCACGATCTCATTTGTAAACCAATGAGAGCTTGTAAGCAGCACACGGGATAAATGAAAATTGCATGAGAAATAATGTGCCTGTCCCAGTAAATTCAAAGATCTGGCTTCCGGAAGCTTTTAAAACGACACTTGCCTCCAAACGTCATGGCTCCCAAGCATAGCTCGCTCTATTATTCCAGAAAGCGTCAGAATGTAATGTGACACACGATGTTCAGTGCAATGTTGAGCACATCAGCTCGATCCCATCATTCAGTACATTGATTTATGAGCTAGATCGTAGCAGAAACCCCGCCGGAACACGGTGCATGTTTAAAATGGACGGTGAAGAGTTCGACAACCCGCAAACTGCAGTGCGAGCAGCACTATGTGGTCCTACCAAAGCTTACCACTTTCAGACCAGAAGAGCCGAGGTATCGATATTTCAGGGGCATATCTTATGTCTCAATTTGGTCGGCAAGTTGGAGAATCGTGGGCGTGCTTTTTCCCGTTCGAAGTTGATGAAGCAAGCTCGATCGCTCACAATATAGCCCGATGCATTGTCGCGAGAGAGTCAGTAAAATGTTGCGATTATTTAGATATATTTGTTCTTGCATCACGTTCCTTTCGACTTGCTTTCCTCTTTCTGTCGTATATCTGTTAGCTTTTCATAACTCGTTGACCACGACATCGCAAATGTGAAAATAGAGACTTTGCAAAATAAAATTCCAGGAATTAGAGTGATCATAAGCGACAGACTAAACGCTCTCTTCACAATGTTTCCTGTAGTAATCTTGTTGGTCTCCATGCTGGTCGTGGTGGACTCCCTGCCCAGACCATTGGAAGTAGGAGGCCTCATCAATCCTGTAAGTAATAATCAATCATGAAAATGCAATTTGTATTTTTATTGTGCTGGATGATGAAGATCGGTACAGGGAATTTGGTTGGAATGGACATCATCCTAAATTGATTCAAACATCCTTTCATGAACCCTTTTCGATGATTTCCATTCAAGGCATCAATTCTCTGTACTAGAACTTGCCACCTGATGCCTACTTGCCAATGATGAACGACTCAGGGATGAACTCTGTTATAATCATCAACCCGTCTTCAGTGAACGTGTCAAACGAAACCTTGCCTCAATCATCCATGAATCCACGAACAATCATGATGATGATGACGTCTGCTACATCCATGAATTTAGCTATGATGGCAATGACACTACCCATGTCAACTGCAAATCCATCTATGCCTATTATGACAATGCCCATGGCCACCATGAAGCCAGCAACGTTGACAATGAGGTCAACTGTTGCTACCACTACCATGAATGCTATGATGGCCCAAAGACCAGCTACCTTGAATCCAACCGTATCGATCAAGAAGAAAAAGATAGCAACGAAACAGACAATGGCCTCTCCAACTCCTGCCACACTGGTCTCCCCCGTCATCATCAATAAGACCATCGTCACAACCATGACTGGAAGCAACTGTAACTGTTCTGTAGCTGGGTCAACTGTATGGTCGGGGTCAAACGACAACGTCATAAGTCATAGCAGCGCCACATCATTTACTGACTTTGATACATTCATGGCCGGTATGATGGGATCGTGTGGCTCTTCATCTGGATTTGATGCCTTTGATGATTCATCGTTATATGGTGATTCGTCATCTTGTAATCCTGAATCATCATCACCATCGAGCTCTAGCAATGCAGCCACCAGTGATGCATACTCTTCAAATAACAACTTGTATGATCGCGGTTATGATAGCTCCTCATCAGACTCGGTATTGAGCATCGTATCCATTCGCATGCTCACCATCTCGTCATGTTTCAGAAAGGTACATGTAAACACGATTTCACTTCATGAATATCGGCTTATGAGCATTGGCATCATTAGATCTGGCAAGCAAATGGAAACATATTCACAGCTGCTGTTGTCCAACTATTCATTGGTCGCCAAATCACCACTATTGTTATAGTAAGGCCATAAGTTTTAGCTTTGCCACGTACTATGCTCACCCTCCCATATCTTTTCAAAAGGCTAAGACTGCGGCCATCTTAAAACCTGGCACGTTTGAGACTGAAACTGTCATTGTGGTCATTGAAACGACATCTCTCCTTGCCTGGAAGTCCAAATGGCAACAATCTGTTAGTTGGGCAGGAGAAATATGAGTTCTCGGTGATTCTCGTCAACTGTTGTGTATCGAAGTGTCTCGTTTCCTCATGTTTTTCTTTGGCCTTGTATGTTTTGTTATATATTTTTCAGATTTGAAAGTTGTGAATAATGGATTGCAGCTTAACGTTTTTGTCAAATTCTTGATGTCTGAATAGAATAGAACAAATTTAGGAAGTTTACAGTATGTGAATGTATTGGATGCGTTTGCTCACAAAAGTGCGTGATTGATTTCCACGTACATGGTACATATATTGCTCAAAACGGTAATGCCAGCATGCTTCCGAAGGCCTCGGAATTTGGGAAGACAGTTTCTCTAACCAACGTTGCTTTCAACTGCTGAGCGAATATTCCACAACCCGATTTCGCGTCTGTCACGTCGACTGTGATAGATCTCATTTTAGAGAGAGTAGATCTATGATAACATGTAGTCTGAGAATGCACACGGACGTCCTTTTGTACACATCAGCTCAGTTCAATTGAGATCTCCACATCTGAGGTAAAAGTCCAAAAACTTGATGCACGAGATCTTGACGAGTCACGCAACGCAAAGGCATCGTTCCATCGCTTGAAATGACTGAGGTACATCAAAATTAGTTGATCGGATCCTAAGTTGACTGACATTCACTTTCCTTCATATTCCAGTTACCAAAAAGGGCCGGAAACCACTTTGTGCCCTATACTTTACTGGGAGATGAATCAGACTACATAGCCCAATTGAAGAAGACAGAAGGTACAAAACCTTCCGTTCGCTCCGCCAACCCGACTGCGACAGAACCTATCAAGGAACCCATCAAGAAAAGAGTCAGCATCTCTGGAGATTTGGTGAACAACAATGCAGTAGCCAAACCAATCGTACAAGAGAAAGAAAAGGAGGAAAATGTGGAATACAGGTACATTGAAATTTGCACGTTACTGTCAAACGTCGCCTTGGGGTCCTGTTGACCAGGTATCTCGTATAGATCGCGAGAGCAACGAGCATTGAGGAATTGGCAGAGACATAGTGTTGGATGGGAACAGGTCGAACAATCACTTTCAAAACATACTGGAAAGAACACTTCGGAATTGCTCATGTCTCGTCTTGGAGAGTATCGATTACATGTTGAAGAACGAGAATTGGCTGAAGGAATGAGCGATACTCCTGGACGTGACCCGTTTTTCTGGGTCACTGGAATACGTATTGGAACTGATTTGCTGGGTATCACTCTGCCAATGCCTAGAGGTGGCGCCAGAGAGTATGTTTTCAGGACAACCACGGTTTCGCAAGATGTTTGCATGCTCAGGTTGATTTTATTAGGTTGCGACGTAAAAATCATGAACATGTTATCATGCATGAACCAGGAAGGTACGCCTCTCAATATTCGGCATCGAGTTTCAATGCTGTTGCTCAATCACGTTTTGTATCTAGACATTCGTTTTTACACGGAGAGTATATGAGGCAGAAACGGGCCCAAATGAGAGGGCTTCCTAATGGAGGAGTGAGATCTAGTCGTTTGCTTCGGAACCCGTTCTTCTTGTGTTTAGCTTAATCCGTCCCTAATTATCTAGAACGACGACTCAGACTTCATGGAAGTCGTTGGACACGATGGACGACACAAGACCGTCATTCAAGACAATTTTGATGGAAAGCCAAATGTCCGGTATGATGTGCGATCGTTTTCAGGGGTTTTTTCTGCAACAGACAGTCTCAAATGATCTCTACAGTTTTGAAGGAGACGCACCGGCTCCAGCAGCAGAATCAGATTCCTTCAGAGACGCCGATCAACCAGCCCGAGCTCCTCATTTGGCTTTAGCTAGTAGAAGACTGAGCTTTGAAGCTCAGCCTGGTGAAGTTGCTCCATCCGTCTTGACGGTTTACAATCAAGGGACCTACGCAGTCTCTTTCAAATGGGAATGTATTGGTGGTCTGAGTGACTTGCCTGTAAGATACAAAGTTCTGATTGAGTCCAGATATGACATTCGTAAGTAGCTGATTTTTTGCTGTTGTGTATACTCTAGGTTGACGCTTCGAGAGAGGGGACGCAACGTTTCTACATGTCACATCGAAAAGGTGTGATACCACCAATTGCTGCTTTTGATTTCAGGATCTCGTTCAAGTCTGATGTTCCTGGGGTATGCAATCCTTTCTTTAATTAACTCACCGACGCATACCAAAGTCAATTGAATCTCTTGCTTCCTAGATGTTTTCAGAGCGCTGGAAACTTGTTACAGAGCCGCCAATGGAAGAGTGGACTGATCGTGTGGTCCTATTGCGGGCAAGCAAAAAACTGCCATCAGGAAGTTTTGTAAGTTCAACTAACGCGAAGGTCTGAATAATTAGGGTGCCGCCATTGAAGAGGACAAGTACAAGAATAGAAGAGAAGAGCTGGATCACATGATGGAACGTCGAGTGTAAGCAATCACTACCCCTTTTTGAAGTCTTTCCAAACTTGCTCATATTTCAACCTGTTAGAGCAACATCTTTGGCTGTTGAAGCATTAGATTGTGTCTTGAACCGCGTGTGGGAGATGATTGCTGCCAATGAGTTTGCACGTCATGTTCGTGGAAACCACTCTGCTACTGAACGTGCATTCTTGCACCATAATCAAGCACTCAATGCAAGTATTGCCGGTCATTAGTTTGGGCTTCTCGTTGCCTCTAATCCGTTTAAGTCGCCATTAGCTTCGATACGATGAAGCGATTGTCAAAAAACTCGATGCTCTTGCCTCAGAGACGTTGGCTCTATTGTCACGATCTACCGAGATTTGGAACAAGAATGTGATGAACCTGCATGAATTGGTTGAAACTATTCCAGATTCAGCGGATAGATCCAAGAAGCTCCAAGAGCTGAATGAGTTTGTGAACGTGTTGCAACGTGCTCTACCGACTAATTCGCAGTCTGTGATGCATGTCATTGGGTAATACACAAGTTTTGTTTTATACTTCATCTCTTTTTTTGTAGTCCAAAGATGATCCTCATCAACATACTCCGTATTTCTGTTTAGAACGGATGTCATTTCTCAGATCGCGGAGAGCATTCCTGGTATTTCGATGACACTACGTAAATCTATGGGATTGCCGCTTGAGCGGTCTGCTACAACCAAGTTTTCGATTCCGGATGCCGATGATGCTATGACGGGAGAAGGGTCGCAAGGTACCGGAGCCGGCGGCGCTGACCTTCCAAAGAAGGGCCAAGTAAGTTTGCTACTAGGATGTGTAATCTATTATTTTCAAGCTTGCAATTCGTATTCAACTACAATGCTTACAACTATCTATAAACAGGCACCTGCTGCTCCAGCCGCAGCCGCTAAAGGTAAACCACCACCAGCAGCAGCTCCTACACCGCCAGCTGCAGCCAAACCAGGAGCCAAACCAGCAGCAGGAGCTCCTCCATCTAAAGCTGAAGCAGCACCGTCCACAACAGGACAGAATCCTCTCAGTCGAGAAGCAGGCAACAAAGGGTCTAGATCTAACTTAACTTCAGCTGATGGAACACGACAACCACTGAAATCACCTCGTAGTTGGTCAAGAGATCGAGCTGATTTAGAATGGAAGTATCGTGGTGAGCTCAAGAAGGAAGTCAAGCTGTTGATTGAGTCTGCATTGGTTCGATTAGATGGATTACTGGGTGATGCGAGTGAGGGGATTCATGGGTGGCCTAGCGTTCCGCAATAGTTGAATGATATTATAATTGGATGGCGTTGATGTCTGTCACACTCTTGTGTCGTAATTCTTCAGCTTGGGCGTCTTTGAAGAGTGTAAATATAATGTCAGGATATCGGTTTTGGCAATTAAAAGCTTGGTGCATTACCATTGATGACTTTGCGTCGTTTCAGAGCTCTTAGTTTCGCTTTATCATATTCGATAGCTTGCGTTTGGCAAGATTTGATTGTTCCTTATCATAGATAACGTACGAGAATTGAGCCACGAATTCATGAAAAGCTTTGGCGTCCGACAATAGACAAACCTCCTAGGTGAATAACACGCATCATTGCATTCTTCTTCTTGACTTGAGTGACAAAACTCATTGCAGCCCATGCCATTTGGTAGTGATCGCGGGGAACACGTAATATTCCAAGTCCAGTATGTGGACTAAAGTACTTGACTGGATAAGATGGTGGTTGAATGAATGGGTTAGTGAAGCTCAACAAACTGAGGATCGATGTTGAAGCGTTACTTGTCGTGGGACCTCCTAGCACTCCAATACCATAATCACCAAAGTTCAGTTGTATGGAGTCTCGAAGGACACTGATGATGATTCCATTATGTACAGATTCGTCTATAGTGCCATCTTCATATTGCAGCTCGAAAAGCAGGTATCGGTTCTTGAATCTCATTCTTGTATGAGCGTAGTAGTTAATGGACGCGTCTAAGAATCGCAATCAAGATACGAACTCTTACCTCTGCTAAAAGCTGTCGCGTCGCAATCTTCTCGCAAGCTTCTAACTTTGGCAAAATCAAGTTCTTGTCAAAACATCTGGACGAAGATAGAAGCAAACATGGCAGGGACAGCAGCCAACCCTAATACCACTAATAATAACAATAATAATGATAATGCAGGTACAGCTGCCGCTACCACTACTGGCCAACAACATGGACCAACAGCCGATGAACTGATTGGCCAGCTTATTACAGCTCCCTTTATAACTGGAAGAGAAGCTACAAAGAATCTACTACCATTCCTAAAAGGTCTAGGCTCTCAACAACTCCTCGCATTCATGGCCGATGGAAGAGATCCCCTCAGCATCTTGGACCCATCGCAATGCACTCTTGGATACTTCTACATTTTGACTGCTAGGCTACACCATCATAACGATAATAATCATGCGGAATTAGCTGCCTTGTTGGCCCATACCACCCACTTTGCAAGCACATTCAGTCTCGAGCAATTACCATCGTCTCCAGCTCTTGTTTTGGCTCCCCTCATCCAAACTATGGTGCGAGCCACGCCACGAGGTCCTCCTGCTTCGGTGCAGATTTATATGGTATCGTGCTTGATGGCACTTAAAGTCTTTACTATGAGATTGAGTCAAGGGGGGTTGTTCTTAACTAGTGTGGCAGTCATCTTCTTGCGTTGGTGTATCTTGACTCGACACTACAAGTATGCTTGGGATGTCGTCGCTCATGATATATCTGAAGTCGATCCAAAAGAATTCGATGTCAAAGTACAAGACTTTTTACTCCACCACTACTATGGTGCTATGATTTGTGTAAGTGCACCAAAAAGACCTTCGCCATGGGCCAGTTAATCGCCACTTTCAAACTCACAAAACTTTAATCAATCTTCAATAGATTGGACTCAAAAAGTTTGATAGGGCTATTGAAATGCTTCACCTATGTATAGCAACTCCTGCGTCAGTCACATCAGCCATCCAGATCGAAGCATACCGTAAATTTATACTCGTATCATATATACAGCACGGTAAAATCCTCCCAATCCCAAAGTATACTGCCGCTCCAGTCGCACGAGCCACGAAATCCTACTCAGCATCCTATGCCGACTTTGCAACAGCTCTGGAATCCAATAATCGTCAACGTGTAGTAACCGAATTGAGTAAAAGCCAAGACGTATTCAACAAGCAACATAATCTAGGTCTTGCCAAACAGGCATTAACAGCCCTAACTCGAAAATCCATTGCCCAATTGACTCAAACATACTTGACGCTATCTTTAGCTGATATTGCCAGACTCGTAGGAATTGAAGGTCCCAACGCTGTATTGGAAGCTGAACATCACGTTGTATGTATGATTGAGGAGGGTCAAATCTTGGCTACTATATCACATACTGCAGGTGGAATGGTATCCTTCCACGATCAAATGGATGCATTCGATGATGCGAGAACGGCTGAAAAGTTGGATTTCGCTATTCGTAATGCTCATGATGCTACAAAGGACGTGTCAAGGATGGATCGAATGGTTGCCATATCCAAGGAATATTTGAATAAAATAGTACATGGTGATCGATCTGGTGGTGGTGGAAGTACTACTACTCCTACGTCGAGTACTGCTAGGAGTGAGTCTGCTGGATTGGGTGGTGGTTTGCTCGATGATGACCTTTATGATGATCCACGGTAAATATCGACTAGACGTTTGCATTAAAGTAGCAACATATGTGTTTGGTGTGTGATGAGGAGAGTAGTATAAGATAGAAGAGCAGAAAAAACCGTAGATAGGTCGTCCCACAATAGTAGGTATAAAGATAAGAAAAGTAGCCAATCTAAAAAACCTCTCCCCTTTGTTTATAAGCTAAAGAATATATCTAACTCTAAACGCACATTTGTTTCAATGAGATTTAGAAAGGAGTTTCTAAATGAATACTAGCATGTTTATTCGAAAACTGACATCAACCTTTATGTGTTGAGCACAAACACCGTCTTCGCCAAATCTCTTTTAAAGCCTGGCAGAGTAGGTCTCTGCATTGGGCTCATACTCGACAATGACTTTACCTATGAAACGAAGATTGATTAGAATCGCGAGAGAGAAAAAAAACCCTAGAGCGAAGCCAAGTAAGACCTTACCCCAAGTCTTTCTTGCACCCAAATCAGCCAATGCCTTTGGAATAGATTCCAAACCAACAAACTTTTGCTCAGTGTATACTGCTGGTTTGAACTTGTTTGTGGCCAAGATATCGAATATTTCAGTCCATGCTCGAGCAGGGACTTCTGGTTCGTGGATTGAGTAGGCTCCCAAGTGGATTCCTACTACTGATGCGTTCTATTCAAAACGGAGAGGGGAAAAGAGGGGTATGATGTTTAGTAATGTATAAGGTTGGACGAAACCAAAAAAAGTTCGGCATTTTTTTGGTATCCCCAATGAAAGTGAAGTCAAGTCATGCAAAGCATACCTTCAAGAGCAATCGGTTGGCTGGAACATTTTCCTACAAAGTGGTCCAAGATTGGCATGATGAGTTTCCGATGCAAGATATGCCACTTGTAAAAAGTCAAAAGTGGACTCACAATGCTGCCAGAAGTGAATCCAACCACGACAATACGTCCATTCCAAGCAATACTAGAAATGACCAGAAGTTTAAAATCAACCAACCAAACGAAACAAAAATAACGGTCAAGATTTATAATACCATTTGGTAGAAGGAATAACCAATCCAACGGGATCAATAACGACATCAGCACCAACCCATCTTCTGCCTGGGATCTTTTTCGTGATTTCATTTACAAGAGCTGGCCAGTCCTTTTCCTTTGTGTAGTTGATTGCGTGGTCGGCACCTTCACGTAAAGCGACTTTGCACTTGTCGTCAGATCCACACGTAGCAATGACGAATGCGCCCAAGTATTTTGCCAATTGGACAGCTAAATGGGAGTAATTGCGTGAGTAATAACGTTTAAGGTGAAGGTTTGGCTTTCGTCAACTCGGAACAAAGCGATCGGTATCTGTTTGAATTACTTACCAGCAAGCCCAATACCACCAGCAGCTGCGTGAACCAAGACGACTTCGCCCTTCTTGACTTCACCTCGAGTTGTCTAAATGAAAACGCATATGTGAGATATAGTATTATCAAAGACAGGCACTTGCATAATGTATCAAATACATACCAAGGCAACGTATGAAGTAGGGAATGCAGATTGAACAGTGAGACATTCTCCCATAGTCAAGTTGCTGGGAACTCGGTGTAATCGAGATGTTATTGCGCCAGTGAGAGCAATCTGTCACGAAACAAGGTATTAGGTCCCTGAGTGAAGGGTTTTTTTGCCGTTAAACCGAGCAATTGCTACCTTTTCAGCCCACACATCAATACCACCTTTAGATCCAAAGACCTTTTCACCGAGTTTGAAGTTTGATTGCTTTGGTCCTACTTCAACAACGATACCAGCAAACTAGACGTAGCAGGAGAGTGTGTTGGTACAGATGAGCTAAACGACATCACAGGTGTTGCAGTCACATACTTGAGAACCAGGGACGAAAGGGAAAGCAGGTTTGTATTGGTATTGTCCCTTGATTTGCAATATTTCATAGAACTCCAATCCTGTGGCGAGGATCTAGTCGACGGCATGTAAAGTGAGTGATCCTGAGCTTGGTGACGATTCCATCTTCCGTTCAAGATGCCAATGACAGAAAGCAATACAATAGCAATAAATGGCTCTTTTGATGAGCTGTTCCAGTAAGAAAAAGAGGGCATTCCAACAAGATGCTCCTTGTGTGACGATTTTAGGCATTCGGAATTAAACAAGAGCCAAACTGCTTGATGTGAGTGGCAATCAAAGAAGAGCTCATTCCAATAGCTTCATTATGCATGTATACCACATCCCATTCTTAATTGACCGCTTCCATTCTTCAAAGTTTGTTGTCAGCTTACCTTCACAACCAACCCATCTTCGGGGCACTTTGGGTCTGGTACCTGCTTCAATTCAAGATCAGATACATCTTTCAGCCATTTGTTCACTACGTATGCCTTCATTTTGTAGAGACGCTTTTGCGCAAGTTGAGTCTGGAGCCGATGCTAGTGTGTATTTGTGATTGAGCTCAAAGATGTGTTGATGCAATGAGTTTGACGGACTGGGATTGGTCGACAATACACTATCAAAGTTTTCACGTTTCCTCGACTGGAAAGGCACAACATTCACGAGAACTGATGGCTGTTGGACGTGATCCGATGCTAGACCTAAGACATCAACCAAATTGCAAGTCAACATTCCGTCAACCTCAATGTAACGGTTAAGAACGGTGATCTATCTAAAATTTTGATATCGGAGGTATCACAGTTCGTTACCTGTCTTGACTCGCCATGACGCTTCATGACAATCTTGAAGACAAGACTTTTACAAGACTGTTAACGAAGAAAGCGAGCCAAACTTACGATGAGACCTGCTTTGATAACTGGAAGCGTTTTCACCGTGACTTTCAACATGAAATGTGGATTAGATGATGATGGCGAAAACAGTTGGAGGTTTCATAAAGAAACAGTATATAATGTGAGATGCAATCATTAACTGTTATGATTCATCGTCATTGATGCCTCAAATTCTCTGCAATGGGATTATTTACTTGGGTTGTCTTCCTTTCTGGATGCGAGGTACATTCTTAGTCAAAAACGATCGCTTCTCGAAAGCTCGCGTTCCATGACAAATAGAATATCAAAGACCCGAACGCTGATATACTGTGTCTTCAGAAAGTTGTAGAGTTTCAGGTGAGGCTCGAGATCGCCTCTTCTTGGACATCACTCTTTCTATCTGCTACCTCAAACGACGCTCTCATCATAGAAACACGAACTACTCGCTCGAGTTCTTGATTTGGGTTATATATGTATCGGGCGAGGCCGTGCTGAACAACCCCACCAAGACGAGTATGCACCAATCTTAAACCAGGAATCGCTGTTTGAGATGCAGGAATCTGGTACGTTTCTGGTTCAGTCCTTTGCCCCATACGTCTGGATTACCCACATGGGGCAGTAAAAGCCCCAGAGTAAGCTCGTGTTTCTTTTTTAGAAGCGGTTGTGTTGCTTCAATCCTTCAACGTGTTAGGCATCATGGCAGCAAAGACTTTGAGAGTCGATTTGGATGTATTCGACCTTGTCCAAATGGAGAGGATTCACCACGATATCGAACTCTGTGTCGTCGTTACTCTCCAGTAATCTACACAAACATCTGCAAGTCTCGTCAACTCATCAATGGCGTACAACTCAACCTTGAAATGGGATCAACGTACATCAGGAATGCTTTCACCGCCATGTTCGCCGCAGAGGCCACTCTGTCGCCAACAGAAATGCAATCAACATGCCAATCGAGCCAATCATGACGTGTAAACATCGCACTTGCTGTAAACTACTCGCAGTTTCGACCGCTAATTGCTGTTCGTTTTTAAGACAAATACCATCCAATTCTGTCATTGTCGTTGACAACTGGCGTCTTCCCAAAGCTTTTTGGAGACGTTTGTCGTGGCACGCTACAATGTATTGGCATTTGGAATGCGACCTTATAGCTTGGAGGACTGAAAATTGCTCCGTGAGGGTTTGGAAGACGCCGGTGTCGTGATCGCTGATATCCAACCCTCCACCAACATCACGACTCAGTACGGAAGGAATCACCAGCATCACCGTCATAATGATCCCAACCACCACGACGACCCTACTCACCAAATTGCATTAATAGCCTACCAAAGCAGTCCATATAGTATGAATGAGCCTACCTATGCATGGTATCTTATCAATTGAATTGGCTTTGAACCAAGTCAGAAAATCTAAGAAAAAGCAAAAAAAAGTATAAAGTGATCCAAAGAAGAATTAGTAGTAGCTCAATATTAGATCCCCTTCCCGTTGCAATTTATGGTTTTAGTAACTGTTGAATCCTTTTCGCGTGCTGATCAAGAATTTCAATACACGGTCAGTGACCCACTAAGAGTACTTCACAGATTGCTGTACCTCATGCCATCTATTCAACCTCTTACAAATGTTAACATGTTGCCACGGTAAATCATTACTTCTCGTTACGAGTGCTTGTCTGTCCTACAATGTAATTTTTAACGTCTCGACAACCAAAGCGAGTCATCATGTCATTGACATCTTTTGAATGAGAATTGGCACGATTAATGGATCTGCAAGTGTTGAAGTATCACCCAACACGTGTCGAATTTTTTCGTCATTGTCCAAATCTTCTTTCGTTACTTCCATTCCAGCAATCTTTCTTAGAATCCTATGTTGTTTTGGTTGATGTAAGAGTCTGCTCTATTTGACTATCGAGTTGGTTTCATACCTTCTCATAATTTTGCCACTCCGAGTTTTGGGAAGATCTGGAGTCACAATCACCTTCTTTGGGGTTGCAAATGGTCCTAAATTCAAATACGACATTTGAGTGCTATGATATTAACGAAGTTGTCTTTTTTTTGCATACCAATATATATTCGAACTTGTGCGGCAAGACTCTTTGCCATCTCATGATGTTCAACATAATGCGACTTTGGAGTGCAGAAACATACAAGTGCTTGCCTAACCAAACGTTTGTCTTAGTTTGACTGTTCTTCACCAACGTTCGCACCAAAGACAGGGCTTACCCTGTAATATCATCATGTATTCCAACCACAGCCGCTTCAGCACAGCTTGGATGCAACACCAATGCTGATTCGATCTCGGCGGTACTCATTCTATGACCAGAAATGTTTATAACATCTAACGGCCAAAAAGGATAATTAAAGCTTGCAACTCCAGGTTGCTCAAATCAGGACCAAGACTCAAAGCACTTTGATTTACCATCAACACGTCCTCGAATCCAATAGTACCCATCGTTATCTCTCGACACACCGTCACCAGTGAAATAGTAGCCCTTGTAAGGCTTCATATACGTGTCTAAGTATCTTGCGTGATTCTGATAAACAGTTCGGGCTATCGATGGGAATGTGTTTTTGACAACCAAAACCCCAGTAGCTGCACCAGGCATTTCAACACCAGTGGTTGGATCCAATATTGCCAGATCCACTCCTACAATGTGGATGAGAAGAAAATGTCAAGAGTAACAAACCCAAGATTTAAACAAGCAGAAGAACTACAACATGCAAAGTACCGAAAAATGGTAACGTAGCTGAACCAGGTTTAACAGAATGAGATCCAGGCAGTGGTGAGATAATTATAGATCCGGTTTCCGTTTGCCAATATGTGTCGACTACTGCTGCGTTTCCACGTCCCACCATATTATAATACCAGAGCCAGGCTTCAGGATTTATTGGCTCTCCCACTGATCCGATGACACGTAACGATGATAGGTCGTATGGTGTCACGAAGTCATCGCCTAGACGTCTCAGAGCGCGAATGGCGGTAGGTGCAGTATAGAATTGTGTGATTCGATGATCTTGGATGCATTGCCTGGTGGCGATACGAAGGATTAAAAAAAGATATGTAGAAACTATCGATAAGCATTTCTGTCACATACCAGTATCTGGCCGGTGTTGGGAAGGTTGGTACAGATTCAAACAACAGAGTGGTCACTCCGTTCGACAAAGGTCCATATACAATATAAGAATGTCCAGTAATCCAACTAGTTCAACATTGCCTTCAATAAGTGCGGTTGGTTCAACCACTTTGAAGAACAGCAAAAACCCACCCAACGTCCGCCATACAAGCATGTATATCACCCTCGTGCAAATCAAAAATGTATTTCGCCGTTATCGTCACGCCCAACAGGTATCCAGCTAGAGTTGAAAATAGTTCAACGTGATGTTCGTAGAGATAACGACAAGACCTTAAATCAAACAACCTGTTGTGTGAACGACACCCTTTGGCTTTCCTGTGCTTCCTGATGTGTATCTACGGAGTGTGCGTGTTGGTATTTTGAGTCAAAATGAACGAACAAAAACACGGGATAGGACATACAACATAAATAGGGGATCCTCCGACTCCATACGTTCAGGCGGACACACTGGACGTTGTTCCTCAACTTCGTCAGACCAATACACGTCTCGTCCTTCTTGCATCGGCACATCGGGATTTGCCGTCCTCTGATGTACAATTACCTTCTGTTTTGATTGAAAAAGGTGAGTTGCTTTTCAAGACACGTCGAGACATCACATTGCTGCTTACTGTGACCAATGGGCATTCTTTTAGTGCATCGTCTGCAATTCTTTTTAGATGAACTGTTTTTCCACCTCGGCGACCTTCGTCAGATGTAATGAGTAAAGTGCAAGAAGCGTCTTGCATGCGATCACGAAGGGCTATATTCCAGAGATTGCTACTGTTAAAGTATTACTTCGTTCCGCGTCGCGAAACAAACAAACGTTACCATCTGCTGAGAAACCACCAAACACCACCTAAATCAGCCAAAAAGCATTAATACAGAATGATTGAATAAGACGACGCTTTCTCTTTTCAAATACTGTGGAAAACTTACAGAATGTACGGCACCAATTCTAGTGCACGCCAACATGGCAATCACAGCTTCAGGAACCATAGGCATATATATACACACAATATCACCCTTCCGTGTTCCATACTTTTTCAGCACGTTAGCGAATTTGCAGATTTCAGAAAGAAGCTGCTTGTAGGTCATCTTCTCGACATTTCCTGGCTCATCTGATTCCCATATGATGGCGACTCGATTTGGATCTTTTTCGGCCCAGCGGTCGACACAGTTATAAGACACGTTCAACTGACCGCCCTGGAACCAACTTGCATCTCCATCATCAAAAGAGCTATGAAACAGAGGTATAAAGGATTCAGCATAACCGGTCGGTTGTCAAATAATTATTAGACCGACTTTTTATGGCATGCGAGGATTCAGCATAACCGGTCGGTTGTCAAATAATTACACGAACGACTTTTATGGCATCTGCATACCCGGAACTGACGTGATCAAACGGTCTTTGCCAAGTCAAAAGTTCAGTGGCCATCTGTTTTGTCAACCAAAGTTTCGTCAGACAAATGTCAAACAACGTCCAACCAAATGACAGCAACACGTGTTCAAACAGGTTTATCTTGAATTAAAACTTACTTTTGTCCAGAAAGCATTGGGATCCTTAATAGACTGGTCATAAAGCGCTTTGTACTCGTCAATGCTTTTAATATGTGGAGCAGGTTGACCACTCCTCAATTGCGGTGGTTTAAAGACACGAGTAGATCCGTCGGCATGCTCCTCCATCTTCTCCATATCGATATCCATCTTGTCTCGCCCGACTCTCTGCAAAATTGTGCGCGTTGGAAGAACTATTTGATTGGAGCAGTGATGTCACACATTGGCTCGACTCTTGAATTTACATAGGAATGGGCGGAAAGACCAGATTAGGATGCAAAATAAGTGTATTTGTGATTTTAGTACTAAAGCTATTGGTTTTTCTGTGGATCCTTTATGTTTTGAGAACGTTTATTGTCTTTATGGATTTCCAGTGGCAGTACTGTCAGCAGCAGATGTTTCAACATCAACATTATTGTCAGTCAAGTCCATAGTAGATGACGATGCTGACAAGTTAGCTTCCAATGCCATTCGGGCAGCTTTTCCTGATCCTTTGGGACGACCTAAAACCAGAAGTGCATCGAGTTAGATCTTATACGACGAGTAGTTCCCTTGCAAATCACATTCGATGCGAGTCACGATGCACAATCACAAGGTTACGTGACAAAGCAAGCCTTTCCAGAAACTAAAATTACCTCTTGGGCGACCAGTTGGGACGTAGGTTGACGGACGTTTTACTTCCATATTGGGATTAGGAGGAAATCCTCGTCCAATTGGAAGTATATTTCTTCCTGGACCTCGTGGTCTACCTCTAGGCCTAGCACCACGACCTCTAGCAGACATGTTTCCATTGCTGCTACCGTTTGATACATTTCCGTTCGTAGCATACATGGTGGGAATACCAGCAGTAGAGACAATGGACGAAGACGAGTTCATGTTGGATGCTGGTGGTGGTGGTGGCAGAGACAAGAACCTTTTGATTAACAGGTTTTGCTCTTGAGATCCAATAACGACTCTACTCTTTTCGGTAAAGGTGCTACTAGCGATTTCCGAAGCGACGTGAGTTCCTAGTGCTTTCAGCTCCTTGAGTTTTCGATTGGCATTTTGACGGACGTCACGGACTTCACTATGAATAGCTTTCAGACCATACGAGTGTGGATACATAGCTGGGTTGGCTAATACACGACTGATGGCCGGGACTTCTGAACCACCAGCAGTAGTATGGATAGGGTGTGGTGGTGATGGTGGATCACTCGTTTCGTCAGTGGAAGGGAAGCCACCTTCATCTTCGTCGTCACCAGAATATACAGAGTATGCGAGACCACTACTAGTTCGTGAACGACCGGGGCGAGCTGGGCTATTGTTTGCGGTGCTTCGGGGAGGGCTGTTGGCAGCACTGCGAGCTGTTGATCCTCGTGGTGGAGAGCCTCGTCTGGCCTTCATACCACGGATTACGTCTCGTATGCGTCGAGTTTCTCGGACGGAAGTTATATAGTCAGCCTTGACTTCTTTGAATGGTCGATCTAGCCAACCACGATCCATTCTCATTTGAGCGAATGCAAGCCTGGTACGCATGTGTCGTAGCATCTAGGAAAGACAAGGGATGGTGATTGGTTGAGCGAAACACGGTTTGAAACAAGACCAAACAAGAGCGCAACAAAATCAATAAAAATGGTTGAACGTCTTTGCAAACTATACCTTTTGAATGTCGGCCTTCTTTTTCAATGTTTGCCTGGATTCCACAGCTTGAATATGTAAGGTTTCGTCGGCTAGAGTAGCATTGGAGCTGTTTGATCTGGCACGTTGGCTGCTCGCAGTACTTGACCCATTCGGGTTAGAGCCATGCCACTCTGGCGAGCTTGAAGAGGTTGTAGCGAGGGAAGGAAATGCAGTATTTGCACCGTAATTTTCAAATGGGCCATACTTTATCGGCGGTGATGGTGTCCTCTTCTCGTTCAGGGCGTCAAACTTGCTGGAAGACGCACCTCCTGCAAGTGCAAAATTACGTGTCATGGTCGCCATGTCTAGGGGGCGAGGCAACGTCCAACGCTCTATATTCGGCTGGCTACCTTCTTGGAAAACTGAGGGTCACAGGTGTTTCTGATTGGCCACAGTCTTGCTTGAAACAAATGAGGACAAAGAAACAGCAAGTTACCAAGATAAACTGTGATTTTACGCGTTGCCAATAAAATCTAGATAAATAAAATATACTGTCAACACGTATAATCCCTCTCCATTTTCGGTTACTTTGCTTGATGAATCGTACCTCAGTCCCTTTGACTTTGATGCAATAACAAGCAGTCCCTGTCCTTTGGACGACGTAAAAAGGGTGATGGCATCTCCTATAGAGTTCTTTATCCATGCATCTGCAGGAAACAGTAAGTCTCCCTAGAACACGAGCAACGCGATGCCAAAAGTTGACAATTAAACCAACTTGAAGTGATAAAGAGGTGGATCTGCTCCATTGCATGCAAGCTCACCTTTATTTCTGCCTCCTAGATCTAGACAAGAAGATCGAGACGATCGAGTCACTGGAACGGTCGCTCCAGTCCTCTCCCAACATCGTCGAAGTAATGACTTTGCCCCCACAGATTTTATTTCTGACCAACACTCGTTTATTTGCTGCTTTGATTACCACCGTAGCGAATCAAATCTAACTTATCATTCACTTTATAGTCATATCAAATTGAATCCTTGACGGAGTCGCTTTCACGGGCACTAAAATCACCACAAACGAGACTCTCACAAACTGCCTTGTCTGTGATATGTCTGGTGCTGCGAACACTACCAGCGCCACCGCCGTTGAAGACTATAATACCTATACTACTTCCGACAATGGTGGAACGACTCTCAGATAGCAAGGAACGAGTGCGAGAGCTGGCCACTACAGGTTTGGTCGAGTTATATAATTTGGCCTGGAATCACGCCATGCATACAGGAGTAGGCGCTGCAGATTCGATGGTGGGCTATGTAGAAAGAGTCATCAAGACTGAAGGATTTGGTCACAAGACTCCAAGAGGCCGTGAACAAGTAGGTTTCCATGTAGGGTTTTCCGGACAGATCTCATCTAATCTAGTAATCTGACCTCTTTGTTAGAGCATAATTTGGCTGCAAGAGTGTGCGAATGCCATACCCGAGTTCCCTGTAAAGACTTTCATTCCAGCTCTTGTAAAATTACTGGAGGATGCACAGGAAGGAGTTCGTTCTACCAGCAGAGACGTCATCATCTCCATATACAAGTAAGTGTCATTGAGATACGACGACGATACATACATTTTTCCTGATCTTTCAACTAGTTCTAGCACATCTCGAACTCTGCAGCACGACATTCGAAAAGAATTCGGCAAGAAGACGGTTAGACCTGCCGTAATCGAAGCTGTACAGTCGCATCTAGTGGATTTGGCTGGTGGATCTACAGATCAGCTTGCAAGTGAGGTGCGTTGCGAGTGCTAGTTCGTTCGATTGCACCAAAAACGACATGGCCTGACAGTATCCTGTAGAGCAAACTTAGGAAGCCATCCAGTTCAAGTACATCACAGCTGCCTATTCTACCACATCCACCAGAGACACCAATGAAAGGAATCACTTCAGCACCAAGTGGTGGCGGAACTGCCGCGCCAGAACCTGATCCGATCATGGTACCGTTTATTTGATCCTATCTCTCACAATTCCGTCCTCAGCTAACTTTAAAATCCAGGTATCGTCGGTACGTGAGCTTGATGCTGAGATCGCTACTATTACCAGCTTCTTCAAACAAAAGGAGACAGAGGAGAATTGGGAAGATCGAGATGTTGCTTTGCAAAAGATACGCGGCCTATGTCGTGGTGGTATAGCAGAGCTAGAAGCTTGTGGGCCATCTATTAAGGCTCTGTTGGATCCTATGGTGAAGTCGGTATGGTAGCAAACGTTTTGGGCATCTTTTTCCACGCCAACAATATAGGCCGACACAATCCTCTTCTGCGTCTAGGCACAAAGTCTTCGGACGGCTCTTGTAATGTCCTCATTTATTTGCATATCAGACCTCGCAACATACCTTGGACCACTTATAGATCACATTGCAGAGCCCCTGGTCATTGCCCTCATTAAAAATACAGCAGCCGCAAAGAAACTAGTTGCAACTGCTGCTTGCCAATCCCTCAATACTGTATTAAAAAACACTTCATACTCATTTCGAAACTTATCGCATGTAATGGCAGCCCTTTCAGACAAGAATGCCGCAGTACGTGGATATGCTGCTATAAGTGCCAAGCTGTTGATTGAAGAATGTATGAAAACAGAACTACATCGTAGTAGCTTCGAACGTAGTGGTGGGCTAGATTTCGTAGAGAAGGCTCTTAAGAAGGGTCTAGGTGATGCAAGTGCTCCAGTTCGAGAGGCATCCCGTGACATTCTGCTAATGTTACTGCAAGTTTGGCCAGACAGGATTGATAGGTAAAGCTTGTTGGTTGAATTTACGAAACATCATCCTGCATTGTAACTTTACTTTTGTTGCCTCAACAGTTTGATTGATACTCTCGACCCAGCAACCAAGAAGGCCGTAGCAAGAAGTAAATCAGCTGTGGGAAAAGGATTCTCACTTGCTTCTCAAAGTGGACCACCGCCTATCTCTCGAAGTGCCTCAGTCAGATCACCTTCGTCTCCAACACATAGATCAGCTCGCATTGACAGTACATCGACTCCAGCACCACCTCGCACTGTATCCGCAACCATAACGAAATCGTCTCCCACGTCGCATATAGCAGCAACGCCAATACCAGTTAGAGTCCATGTTGATCGTTTTATCGACCGTTTCACGTCTGGAGATGTCAGAGATCGGCAGGCCGCAGTAGACGAAGCTGTGACGAGTTTAACAGCACACCCGATATCGTTTCCATCACCCAAAGCGTCTATACTCTCGGTTGGCAATGCTCTAATTTCACTTATGAGTGATCCTGATGCCAAAGTCTCGACCCGAGCTTGTAATTCCAAAGCTTTGGATGTTTTGATTGATCACGGTGTAACTACAGTAGAAGACATGGTCGCTATATGTGTTCCTCTAGCTGCTAATAATCGTGTTGGACCATCAGCATATCTAGATCACATAGGTCGTGTCTATCCAGCGGATGTCAACTTGGCGTCCTTGGTATCGATTTTGGCAGTACCAGTTGCTGCCAAGACACCAAGCAAAATAGCAAAGAGAGCCAGCTCAGTGTCTCTAGCGTGGGAGCAGGACACGAAAATAGAAGTAATCAAAAGAGCTGGGAATATTGTCTGTGACAAGTACAAACGAGACGAGATCAACTCATATTTTAGTGACGCTGCTAATGCCCGCCTTTGGATTACTCGACTGGTGCCAGTATTGAATGCCATCCGGACAGACTGTGAAGGTGCTTGTGATGTACTTGAGCTGATACAGGCATGCAATCCTGTGGTCTTTGATAAATGTTTGAGCACCTTTGATGAAAGTGTCCAAACGTATCTGCTCGAGCTCTTCCCTAGTCTGGTTCCAGAACAGCAGGAAGATGACGAGGCTGAAGATACTAAAGTAGAAGTAGAAGAAGGGGATCGAATAGAGTTGATGAATGATGCCAACTACGATGATGGAGAACAAGACTCAGAAAGGACGCCTACAAGAGTCAAAATAAACCATGACCAAATAGGGACTACTATAAAACCAAAACTGGAGCTAGGGTCATTCAAACATTTGGTCGCAGGCACACAGAGCTCAATAGCAACTCCTCCTCATAATGGAGGATCAAATACTTTCAACTTGTTGGACGATCCCATAGACTGGTCACCACCTGGAGATGACGATGACGATGATGGAGACGATAGTAATCCATTTGGTAGTGACGATGACGGTCTCATGGACGAAACTGCACCAGATGACTTTGCTGATGTCTCCATGTCTCGTAATTCTGTGATCATTTCTTCATCAAGACCGTCGACTACGGCAAGTAGCATACCAACGGAAGATGTTCTGAATGGCCTGATGGAGTCTACGCTGTCTATAAGCCCTCCAATAACTAATAGGTCTTCAAGCTCTGATATAGAGCTGTTGCCTCCCTCTCAGCCAGCATCACGCCCTTCATTAATCTTGGATCCAACACCTAAATCATCTGTACCTATAAATGCGCAATCTAAACCACCAGCAGGACTAGTAGGATTACAGACATCCCAAGACCCTGCACGTTCCTCTATAATTGATCAGAGTCGATCAAGACTTAACGGTGTATTAAATGAAAGGTTCTTGTTTGACGGTGCAACTCCAACGCCTGCAAGACCTAAATCATCGGATTACGAAAGGATATTGCCTGCCTTGCTCAGTCAACTGAGAGCTGGTGAAGCTGATCGAGATTGTGCTCGACGACTTCTTCGAATAATACGATCAGTTCCATCATCAGTGGATGATTCAAATGATATTGTGTCGTCGCCTGTTGGTAGTCGTGTGAATACTTTATGGAGTAGTTGGGGCAGTGAGTTTGTAGATAGTCTTGTGTCTGGTCTTAAGAAGGGCATAAGTGTATGTGACATGTTATTAATCATTGAGTTGTTACAATATGTGTGCTAAACATGAACTCTCCGTTTAGGACATGACAATGTCAGAAACTTTACTCATCTTACTAAGTGATATGCTTGACCGTCACTCCTCGTCTTTTATTGGTCGAGAGAAGAATGTTTTGGATGTTTTAATTGCCTGTAGAACAGTCAAGAATGACCAGGTATATTATGATGCTTCTGAATTGGTCGATGAGCTAGAATGAAACAACATTCGCTCTATGTGCTTAAACCACGATCACTGTTTTTTAGGTATGCGGTGGAGCAGAGACTGCACTACGGTCTTTTGCACGCCATTTAGACCCTTTAGTTTGTATGGAAGCATGCTTTGGCCTGTTCGATGATGTAGAACTCTATCCGACATCAGGAGGACCTACTACTTCTGTAAATGAGATACAGAATCGACCAGCTCAATCTGGATTTCATGCTCTAATTCTTGTGATATCCAATTTGAAGAATGCTATTCCTGACGTGTGGACATCTAAATTGGTTGATTTGGCCGTTCGTGTATGTGTCTTCCTTTGCATTCCTGAGCCTTATTTTTTCTCGTTTGATTGAACCAGATCAGTTTTATCTCACTGTTGCCTCTATATCCTAATAGGCAATGTCATCTCCCGAAACCCAGATTCGGAAATGTGCTGTCGAAGTACTCGCTGAAATGCAAAAACACATTGGTGAGACGGCCTTATGGAGGCTGTTAGATGGTCGTGTGAAGCCAGATTTGAAAAAACTAGTCAGTTTGTATGCAGACAAGCGATCTTTTACACAGTCTGTCTAATAATTTTACAAGCTTATGGTATATTCTCCATTTCTAAACGAAATAACAACCCCCCTCTGTGTATATATACAAGACTTGTGTGTAATTCTTAGTTCTCTTCTTTAGCCTCTGGGGCAGAGTTCGAAAAGTCGTAAGCTACTTCTCCCAATAGTGTGAGATCGCAACCGCTGTAGTTGTTTGGTGTTAGCACCTTGTTTTTGGAATATGTCACTGTCAATGTTCACAACGTACAATGCTTCATCTTCTTCATTTGTCCGTAAGTTCAGAACCGGGATGAGTGAAAATACATATGCCAGAAGTCCTACAATGGTAACATTTATTAGAAAATCCGTATTCCGGGGGTTTTTGGGCGAAACCCTTTTCGAACCTGTCCAAAAGAACGCCCACGAACCACAAGTAACAAGACCTGGGTGGAGATGGGCGGGAGAAAAAAGTGAGTGTGCGCGTCAAAGAGGGGGTGGAGATGGGCAGGGAGAAGAAAGTGAGAGTGCACCGCAGCGCACTCTCGTTTTGTCTCGGCTCATATCCACTGGTAACTGCTTCAATTCTTTGAAAGTATGGAGTCACCTGCTAGCTGTATCCCCATCTGTCTATAATTAGAATCTACCCACCCTGTGAAGTGTTTATGAAGAAGTGAAGTGGATATTTTAGGGTACTTTGTAAAAGGGGTTTCTCATCCACTAAGCAATCTTAGCAACTTGACGAATCAACCTCATCGAATTCGAAATTTCAAAGGTTACCTCCAAGTCCAGCAGTCCCGTCGAGAGAGATTGTGGATTGTGTGGAAAAAAACCCTGTTGTGTAGATCCTTGAGTTCTGGTTCAATTCACAAACGCAGAAAACCACAATAAGTCATACCAGTCAAGATTGTTCCAACCATTCCAGCCACACCGTGCACAGGGAAAACATCTAGAGTATCATCAAAACCAAGTTGTCCCTTCAAGAAACATGCATGGTTTCCTAACACTGCTCCCAAGACTCCAAAAATGATAGAATAGTATGGGGTCGTAAATCCAGAGCCTAGCAAACAAATTGTTAAGCGGGAAGTGGAAGAATTAGAGAAATGTCAGCTTTACCTGGTGTGATGGCTACTAAACCGGCAATCGCACCACTGCAGAAGCCTAGAGATGTGAATTTCTTGTGGATTCTATGGAGAGGCAAGGCATGAGCATAACCGGACATGATCTAATCTCTACAGTATTCAACCTGTAGTCATAAAAGAGCCAAGCCATTCCTCCTGCAGCGGCTGCTGTGTTCTAATGACGATGACTTGACCAGTTAGTGTTTTCGTGTGTGAAGAGGATCACACTGATACGTACTGTGTTGATAGCGGCGATAACAGCACGTTGATTCATAGCTAAAGCGGATCCACCATTGAATCCAAACCATCCAAACCACAGCAGTACGGTTCCAAGAGCCATTAATGGCAAATTGTGTGGTGTCGTGTTTGGGGTTCTTCTACGGCCCATTACCAAAGTCATTGCTAGACCTCCCCATCCTGCGATTGAATGTACAGGTTGTCCTCCAGCTATATTGACATTGGGTTGGCTGATTTTGGGCGACCCCGAATTGATTCTCGACGCAAACACGTACCAAAGTCTTGGTATCCAAGAACGTGCAACCAGCCGTTAGGTGACCAGCACCAGTAGGCAACAAAGTCATCTAAATTTTAGACATTTTAGCAAGCAAAGAAGAATTTCGGGTTCATCTCAACAAACTAGACGTACAGACAATTGTCGTCCACAAGAAGCAGAATAGGACGAAGGGCCCTACACGAATACGCTCCGCAACTGAGCCAACCATGATGGCAGGTGTTACGGTAGCAAACATGCTAAAACATGTAACGATATCGTTTAGGTGTTGTTGTTTTCGAGATCCAATACACGAACGGGCGGAAAGCAAGAGTTGTTCTGCAATTACCATTGGTAGATCATGAAAGCTGCAGCAGGTATGGTAGGTGCCAATGGATGTGATTTGCCGGAAAACAGTCCTGACGAGCAAAAAACACACCAGTTTTAGTTTGATGGCAGATCATAAAACAACAAGTAGCGTGAAGAGCATCAACCAAACATCGGGAAATACAGAGTCGATCGTGCAAAACTCAAAATGTTGCAAAAAAACACAACACTTACCTCTTAACCCAGCATATGAAAAGTCACCAATGAAATTATTCGGACTGACATCACTGAAGGAGAGCGAGTATCCGAAAACGTACCACTGAAATTCACAGAAAACATTTAAAACATTAGATTACGTTCTTTCACATGTCTGTCGCAATAACCGTTTATCATTTTAGCGGTACCTGTATGGATACGACAGCAAGACAAAGCAAACTGAGTAGGACCATATGCTGACTATTTTTGAATTCAATTGTTCCAGCATAAAAGAACCCTTTAGGAGAGAATGGTTGGGGATGTCAGATACACGTTCCAATTTCAAAGATAAGACACAGTCAATTCAGGAAGGTGATGGATCAGTTCTTTCTAATGACGAAAGGAGGAGGGACATACCACAAGCTGGTGTCTATGATGGTAAGGAATGATTGTAAGTCAAGGAACTATCGCGATCTATTCGGAACGAGTCCCGAATCCAATGTGTTAATCCACCGAATACTCTTTTTCTCCTACCATGATCATTACAAGAGCCGCACTAGTCAAGACCCAAGTGGTATCGGCTGACGACTTGGCCATAGTAGCCATGTCGAGTGCCTGCTGGGCTAGTGTTGCTGCTGCAGCTGCCATCGTCTTTGCTGTATTTGACAAGAAATCTGAGAAGTTAGAATTTAAGGTGTGCTTTGTTTTATTGATGGAGGGAAACCTGGAGGGAAACGATCGGGGAAACGATAAGCAAACGATAAGGAAACGAGCAGCAGCTGGATGAAGACTTTATCATTCAGAGGAAGAGCCATTGCAGCGGAACGACGAGGAATGCGACTCTGTCGTGGCATTGCAAAAACACGGTCGACCTTCCAGCTTAAAGTTCAATCTTCATAATCAGTACTGTGTGATCTGTGCCAAGATATTTTTAATGGGCAATCGTGAGGTTTATCAAACTACTAGAAATACAGATTTTTGGTTTTGCTTGTGCTTGTTTTTGCCCTACAATTTGCTCCATTGATTTTACATCATCTGCGAGATTCACGTCGTTTTATGGCACCACCAGGAGGTCTATGAAGCAAGGTCGACAAGTCAGAGACGTTGGATGATGTAAGATCTTACTTAAGCAAAGTAACACATGACAAGACTCAAAACAGTTTCTTACCTGGATTCTTGCAAGATCCTTCCACTAAAAGGAACGAGAAAAGGTTAGAAAAATGTGTAAATTGCTGGTAAATAATAGATCTGGATCTTCAAAATTGACAAATAACGCAGTCCGGAAACACCCGATCTGGTGCGACATTGTTTTGGTTGAATGTTTTGGCATGAGGGGTGAAACGAGATCCCTTACCGCATCCATTTGATCCCACACTTGTTGCATAGATCTTCGTGGCCAGGTGGCCCATGCCTGTATAGTGGTTCAAAGGGCTTGTTAGGAAGTTTGCGAATATTGTTTCTGAACCAACCAAGCAAAACTTTGCGAGATCAGAACAGCGACGAGAAAGACGCAAACAATCGGCACCTCCACATTGGTGTGACGGTAGAGTTGCAGTACATGCACATTCGTAGACCGTTTTCATCCGTGATGCTGACGATTGCGGTTGATCGAGCCATACTGGGACCTTTTGACTTCTTTTTATTGACTGAGGATGAGTCATTGATGTTGACTGTCGAGTCATCAGAGTCAGATCCAGAGTCTACACGAGGTTGCAAAAGTTTTGGGATATGTTTAGATCTTGTGTTACCAGTGTTTTGTATATCCATATGCACGATAAAGTGAAGGCGATTATTACCATGATTTCCGTGTTTTCGTTTTCGTATTGGACTTCCAAAGAGAGATGGCGATGGAGAAGCCTTTGATCCACGGCCATCTTGACTGGCCGGAGGCGTTGGAGCGAGAGCTTCACGGATGGACTTTCCGAAAGCCTCCCATTCACCTTCGTCATCACTAGGGAATTGATCAGAGCTCCATCCAGACCAATCGTCCTCGTCGTCATCAAATACAGTGATCTCTGTCGGGTTGTTTACGGATGCAGTCATTGATACTTTTGAGAGCTGTTGTAAAGATCTGTGTGTCGATCCAGTGAGAGACAAGACGGAATCATCTATAAAATCTGTGGTAGAATCCAATACACGTTTGACATCAGTATATACATGTTGGTCATGTTGATCGTGCCACAATTGTAGATCGTCTTCGCTGTCAGCGTCATTTCCATCATCGAATATAGATGGTTCTGGAGGAGTCAATGGAAGCCTGTATGAGATCTTTTTATAGGATCTTTCTGGGGTTGTTGTCTTTACAGGTGATTCTGACAGACGTCGAGCCGACTTGTAAAGGATCACTGCAGCACTATGTAGATCCGAGTCGGCTACAGGCGAGGACGGAGGAGATGGAATACTTTCACCATATGGATGATAGCTTATGTCCAACAGCGGTAGTGGTATCCTCTGAAGAGTTGCCATTGTCGATTGTTGGTTGGATTTTGCTTTATGGTGAGGATACGATCGATACGGTGCTAGATCTACTACGTACGGACGATATATGGCTTGATGGATTGCTGGATGGCTGAGGGCGCTACCTTATAAGGAGCTTCATTGTTGTTCTTGGAGTTCTCGTTGACGCAAAAGCTGCTGGAAAGAGAGCAAGTTGGAGCACAGACCAAAAACCTGATTCGCACTCACACTCGTCTCGGTAGGCAATGATATAGATAAGTCCTCAACTGTTACAATATATCGACATAAAATCACGCTCTAGAACGCGTTGCAGCGCTGTTACAGACTCGCCCTGTCACGGATTGACGTCCGAGGCTCATGATGACACAATGACCACAATCTACCTCTCTTCAAGCTCCACGCAGCTCAAGTTTGATCTTCATTCTTCTGCCAAGCATTTCTGCGCGTTGATCTGTAGTTGTGCACTGTTTGATCTTATCTATTCTTCTGGCATATCGACATCTTGATCAACTGGCTCGACCACTATATTATTATTCAACAAGAGTTGGATTGCAGCTTCATCACCACCAACTAGGATCTGAAGAGCTCCTGGCGCTTGTTGCACAGCTGGTTCAACGTTACGTTCGTCATACCACGATACACGTCGAAACACTGCCCTCCACAATCCAGTATGCTTTATACATTGCACCTTCCTTACACCACCAACAGCTCCGAATTCACGTCCGATCTGTGGTTGAAAGTTGGGTCGAGGGATACCTTGTACATCGACAATCACAGACCTCCAATGTGACCTAGGTGGGTAGTGCGGAAACATGACTACAATCCCTGCATTGGCATCTTCAGGACCTTGCCTATGCCATCCCGAGACAAACCCACGCCACCACCCGTACCTAACAAAAGGAGATGTCCTTATGATGCAGTTCGCTCAAAATAAAAAAGTCTCCAATATTCATGACATGAGACACAAAAGGATTGCATGAAAATTCTCACCCATAAGATGGTCTCATTCTCCATTGAATTTCAACCTCATCTCCCGGTTTCAGATTTCCAGGCATCCATGCTTGTTCTTCACGATCTGACGACCAATATAAAGGTGGTGGAGTACTAAATAAATCTCGAGCATAATATTCACGAGGATCTAAATCTAGTAACTCTTCAGGTACTCGTCGAAATCGATGTCGTTGGGTCAATGGTATAGATTCTTCGGCGATAGGTTCAAGTGGATTTGCTCCCATCTCTACGTCAGGAGTTGGGGGATGCTGTACTATAACTCGTTGACCTGATCGGGCTCTCAAAAGCGGTTCTGGTTTGTATGTTATCAGGAAGGATTTTGATGGTTTGTTGTAAGTAGCAAGTCCTATAAAAGCACTCATTGGACGGTCCTGTTACGTAGATTTGCGTAAGATAAAAGCAGTAAATTCGATGCTCCAAAGCTGCAGTCATAAAGACTTACAGAGAGAGAATTGAGTACATGAATGAATCCACTCCAACATCCACCTTGAGCAATAAGTCTATATGCTTGGCGATAGGATGCAGGCAGAGGTATTCCAGGGTGTTGTCTGACGCTATGCCGACATGGACATTTGGTCAGGACCTCGCCGGCCTCATCTGCATCTCCAACACCAGCAGATATCTGATATGTGAATGCCGTGCGTTCACATTTGCCATTCCAGAAGAACCAAGGCCAGTCAGTTAGCGATAATTCGCGCCATAGAGCCTTGATGAAAACGAATGTTAAATTGACTTTAGCTGACTGTTGAGATTTGGGCCCTGCAATTATCAAATGTCAAGTGTTGCGCATTTGATTTGAGAAACAGACGTATCAACGAAGACTAAAAGGGCATTCTCATGCAAGACATCTCTCACCAAAAGCAGATGGAAGTAGCTTACCTCATCTTCAGTCAGGTCTTTGAAGAGTTTGTTGCTTGCCCCGATGTGAACCAAACTCGATGCGTCCAGCTGCGCCAAAATCAGCTGCAGTACGTCAGTGTGCAATTCTACTAGAGTGATCATTTGCATTCTACTAACGCGATGATTCGCATGTTCCCTTGAGTTACAGGTTCCAAAGAACTGACTTTACCCTTTGGTTTTTGGAAATGGTCGCTCCTGAAAGACCAGAGGCAACAAACGGACAGCGTGATTTGAATTTACAGGCAATCATATAACGATGCATTCAGACATACATCGACGTCTTCTATGTTTTCTCGTGACTTGTTCACGTTGCAACGATCTATTATTTGCATCACCTGAAAAAAACAAGGACTGTATAAGCTCAACAAACAAGCATCTCTACCCCAAGTAAGTTCCTCCCTATGATCTTCTCTCATCCGAACGCTCCAATCGTCCTCCTTTTGGTCGACCAAATGATGCTCGACACAAATCCATGACAAAATTGCTGACGCGAACAGTCCAAACTACCTGCCTCGTGTGATTAAATGCCTGGAAGCGATCAATACAAACACTTATTCCCCATTCAATTTCATGTAGACAACAATGGCTCTCAACAATTACAAGGACATCACTCTGACCGTTGACGGTCGCATTGGAACCATCACCCTGAACAGACCAAAGGCGTTGAACTCATTCAGCCCCCTTATGTTCAAGGAGCTCGTTGACGCTCTCCGCTTCCTGGAGGCTCACGAGGAAACTGTCTTCACCGTCATTACTGGCGAGGGTCGCTTCTTTTCGGCTGGCGTGGACGTTGGAGGAATTGCGAACGAAACCGCCCTACCAAAGGAAGGCTTGGAACTGAAAATGGAACGAATCGCTGGAGGTTCTCTTACCATTGAAATGATGAGACTCATGGTAAGGCCCTGAGTGTGTTTGAAGTGACATCGCTTTCTGACCTGTATTCGTGATAGATTGATCACACAAAAGTACTCGTTATTGCCTACAACGGTCCAGCAGTAGGCGGTGGGGCCGCTTGGTTCCCTGCTATGGCAGATATTGTCCTTGTGTCTGACTCGTAAGCATGCTTGCGACGTTCGCCAAAGCCCAGTCCTTGACCTTACTTTCACCAGATGCTGGCTTCAAATTCCCTTCTCTGCTCTTGGTCTCGTCCCGGAACTTGGAAGTGTCACTTTCAGAGAACATATGGGTGTTAGGAGAACAACTGAATTCTTGATGTTTGGTCGCAAGTTGAGCGCCCAAGAATTAGAGGGCTTTGGAATTGCCAAGTATGTATTTGGAGCATTCTCCGCTTTTTTCATGCAGCATTGGGTCGACTTGAATGGAGTTTTGTTTTCGTACCATATGGGCTGATATATCTTTTGATGTATGTAGTCAAATATTCCCAACTGCCGGATTCCACCAACGAGTAAACGATTACTTGAAGGAGCAGCTTGAAGTGAGTGACATTGTATACATACGTGCTTCGATTAATGTTTGTGTTCTTAAAATCTAAAATTCACTCCTGGTCCTTTTGTTTTAGGTAAACGACTCCAAGTCAATGATGGAGACGAAGGTACATACGCCCGCAAACAGACTTTAATTCAGTTCTCCGTGTTTCTTACACTTTCTGCATCGTAGAGGTTGATTGTGGAACCACTCCGTGAAAGACGCATGTTGGCCGTATTCAGGTAATTGACAAATGCGCTTTTCCGGTCGGGTTTGTTTCAATTATGTCTTCGATGAACTCACAGAATTTTGTTTCAGGGCTTCGGATGCTCTTGCCGAGATGTTTGTTGAAAAAAGGTGCGTGAATGTTTGCTGAACCGTTTTGCTAAACGCAAATGCAGCTCTCATACGCACATACTTACCCACAATATAGACCTGCAAAGAGGTTTGCCATGAAGCAAGGTACGTATCAAAGATTACTCTTATAAGAAAACGGAGGTATGTTTCGAATCTTAGCTTTTCTCTCGTAGCTGAACTTGAGGCTAAGCGAAAAGCAAAGCAAGCTGGAGCTAGTACCACTGGAGCATCTCTCTCTGCCAAGTCCAAGTTGTAAACAATTGAAGAAAAAACAACAAATTTAGTCTACTTGATATGTTCTGCAATCAATAAAAGTCTGATTTCTATAGTGCTGTAACGACTGACTATAGCTTTTGCATATGTATTGCGGGAAGAATCATACATGAATTTTTATACTGGTTGCTGTTTCTCACTGACAGATCGAATTTTTCTGGCCCACAATTCCACCATCATGTTGAGAGATTTCCATTGTTGAAGCCACCGTAGGAGGTCTCACAACACCATCTACAGGTTGCTGTGTTGCGATTCCTATAATTTTGAGTGCGACAGCCTCGACAATCTTTCGTAAACGACTTGAATACATTGCAGAAATTGGCCAAATTCTTCCTGTGGCTTCCATGACAGGTATTGCTGTTCTTTGACTAGATGAAACAGGAAAATTGTTGGTTCAGGTCGTCAGACAGATCATTTGTCTTTTAAACCTACCAAGCCTCAAGCACTCTCAACGTTTCTTCCTTTTGCAACTGATCTCCAGGACGCAGTATAGATGAGGAGACGATATGTGAGGGCACCGCAAGAGCACTCAATACACCACCATATATAGAAAACATACAGCATGAAAACATCGGGCTGCGGACTATACACCATGATGCAGGCGGAGCGGACGTATCGATACCTCCAGTTGATGGTTCACGAGTCGAGAACGGAGGGATAGCGATTCCGCTACTTTTATATATCGATGTGACGATGAAGCGAGCGGCACGTTCTGCGAGGATCACCATATCTCTCGACGATACTCGCAGAGGTCGTTCACCTAGACGAGTTTTGAATACCCGCTCCGGGTGGTCGACGTGGTCAAGATGTAGTGTTGATACTCCCCTGCCAAGAAGATTAGTGTGAGATTGATATATGCAAATTTTGATGTTGCCGTGTAAGAGGCACGATTACCATAAGAACTCGAGAATTATTCCAGGGGCGACTGATGCTGCTGCAGTTGCATTTCCTGCTATGGCAGCTGGTACTCCATCACAAAAATCAGCGAATCTGAAAGTAAAGGGAACGTTAATGCATTTAAAAAGACTGCTTCAACGTTTTCATTGACATAAACGGAATTGAAACAACGATTTGATTTGATCAGCGTTTCTCTTTGGTCACTTACGAATCGAAAGGTTTGATATCACTTGGAAGACTGGCATACAATTCGATCATGGCATCATGAATTGTTCTCGTATCTGATTCTGCAGGAAAAATAGAAACTACTGACAAAACTCCTGGATTTTGAAAATTTCCTCGTCGTTTCTCACTAAATACATGTCGGTAGACTCGTCGTAATATCATTGCAATTTGGATGTGTGCCATTTCTGCTGCTTCGCGTCGAGGAGCATATTCAACCCATGGGTTTGTTGCCTTAGGAGCTCCACGTACATTATCCCATATTGTGTGCTTTGGATCTTCGTGCACAACCTTTTGCCAGAGTTCAAAGCCAGCCAAAGTAGCAGATTGACTACTACTGATCACTGACATGGATGATGCGGTCCTTGGTCCACTCTCGAGCAGATATGTATAGTCACTGATTGTTATAGTATGAGTGTCACGAAAGGCCTCATAAAACAAATCACTCAAACTCACCCTTCATAAATCAGTGGAGGGAAGCCACTCCCCATGGTTGAGTACGTGTCTACACGTAAGAGCATAGCCCATATTCGACGTCTGGGATAACAACACGGTGTTGAGAAATGAATCCACATCACAAGACATAAAATGAAGATTCAAATACCTAATTTCCCTTTCTGAGGGTGATAAATCCAACGACTGCCAGCCAACCAACCGTGTCGCTGATGTTATAGTATCTGTATCGTTCCTGTCTACTAACATCTTCTGAGCCATTCGCACTGCAGTCATAATCCACGCGAGAGCGTCGTTTCCATTGCCGTCGCCATAACTGGTTGAGGCCAACTACGATATGAGATATGAATGTGAGGGTAGATGGGACCCGCAGCAATCTTCCTGACAGAGTCTAAGAACGGTTTGAACGCAACCACGAGCTTCCATGATTCCAGATTTCCATATGTCGCCAAAACACTTACCAGTGAGCAGGCTTCAGCAGCTGGTAATGATTCAGACGAATGAGCGTCCTGCAAAGCATCACTGGCGAGTGTTGCAAACATTTGGCTTGCTTTCTTGGGATTTCCATATGGTTCCTTGTACAATTCCGGATGCAGTGAGAATTTAGCAGCTAAAGCATACATCGCGTTCAATAAATAATCTATCGAAAAAAGATTTTAAGTATATGGTGACACCGAAGCGAATGTTAAAGATGTGAACCTGGGTGGCGATTGACAGGCTTCCAGTTTGCAAAGAATGTAGGCTCGTGTAGTACCGGCGTCGTTGTCGCAACAAATGTGAAGTATACGGCAATAAGGTGAGACTTCAGATCATCGTCGTTAGATACAGGAGGTGGAGACATAGACATCCTTAATGGTGACATCGGTTCCAAGTCTATCTGAGTGATGATGGGCTGATTGCCAAATGGTTGATGCCCAGGCACAAAGAAGTCTACACAAAGAACGGTCACAGTTTGAGTCATCAAATTCGCCGAATGTTTCAAAGTGCAATGGGGCACCTCTTGCTCATACTGACCTGAGAATAAATTTCCGAATGGAAATTCAAGAATCGGACCATCTGAAGGAGTGGAGCCTCGTACTACCATAGACGTTTGCTCTTCGAATAGCATAGATTCAAGATGCAGGATGGCAGAGGTTCCAGGACTCACTACGTTTGGATACGATGCTTGATTCACTAGCGGTTCGTGTTGCGAAACCGGTGGTTGTGAAGGAGGAGATTCTGATTGTTTGACTTCTTCTTCAGATGATCCTGATGAGCCTGGTGATATCGGATATAGCTGAGATGGAGTTGAAGGTGGAAGAATTTGGTAGGGCTCATAATACGTCATATCTGGCATGGTTTCATATTGTTGATGCATAGTATAAGATGGACCGGCCATAGACCTATCCTGTTCAGAGTCTTCATCCATGTCATTCTCGTCTTGACTATTTTCCCCACTAGCACTGTTTTGACCATTCTCAGTTTTCAATAAGCCTGTTATTTCATCTAAGCGCTGGAGAAGCGCGTCACGATACCCACTCCTTGGGCCTTTTCGTCGCGGATGTTCGGGATAGGTGCATATATTATCGAACTTGTTGCGAGCCTTTGTACAGTTTCCACAGACAGGTTTCACTCCATCACATTTCCTCTAGTATGAGCGATTCAGCAATGTTGAAATTATTATCAATTCCTGATTAAAAGCCTCTTGATCTTGAAGCTCCACTTGATACCTGTTTCGTACAAAACGGACCGTAGAACATACCTTCTTGATTCGACAACGTTCACAAGCGAGAGCTTGTCTCTTACGAGCGGTACCCTTTGTCGTATAGCCTTCCTGAGGAGGAGGTCGCACCCGTCGCTGCTGCGAAGCTTGAAGTTCTGAGATAGCTTCAGACAGCAGCTGTGTTTTAGATTGAAATATATTGAATATTAGCAACACAGGTCATACAGCATTTTCCAACATTGACGTGAACAAATGTTCAAAATTGCGCATGGTCTGAGAGTGAGCTTCACCAACGCGTTTTTGTTGGTGTGTCGTTTCCTCGGTCCAAGTCAATGCTTCATGAAATCAAGACTACAAAGCTCAAAGGTATCATACCGGAGCGATATCATCCCTAGTGGCTTGCTCAGGAGCAGGAGTTGGATTTGGGATCCTATTATATGTATGGACGAAAAGTCAGAATTGCCAACAAAATCATCTCGAATCAGCCGGTCTCTCACAAGTATCCATTTGGAGGCAGCTGGCTGAGATTTGCGAGCAAGGTTGCCACCTCATCTTCCATCTTTAGATCCAATTCCGTCTTGAGGCCCTCTCCTATTGCTCCAGCAGTTTCATTCCCTGATGGAACGCAGATCTGCGGCTATGATTCGTCAGCCTTATCCACCGAAGTTTTGGCGCAGAACCGTCGAAGAGACACGCGACGGCATATGCCACGCGCATACAATAGAGTACGAAAACGTTACTGGACGTGTGCCGCGTGTGCAGCGACCGAAAAACTTATAGTATAGATAGTTGTGTGTTAAATGGCAATATTTATGGCAGTGCAGCTTCGTAACCCGATCCCACGTCCTTCCATAAATAAATCCCATCTTCGTGGTCAGGAGATGGTGGCAAAACTTGCATTACGGCGCCATAAAGAGATTCATCATGTCCGGCACGTACAAATGCGTGGACGCAAGCCTCCATCGATACCATTCCCCCAGAGCCTTCAACGAGCTTCTCGCCTAATCCGTACATTGGAGATTCAGGGTTTAATAGTCCACCAACGACCATGTTCGTAGCAACATAACTTTTGGAAGAAAGAAAAGGATTAATTCAAACTCTCTGAATCAGCAATCCTTCTGTTCCATACCCTGGACAGACCGCATTCACGAATATTTGTTCGGTATGAAGACCAGCCATAGATGTTACGAGTCCTACAACAGCAGACTTTGCAGCCGCACTAGATTTGGTGTGAGTATCGGCGTTTCTTCAAAAGAACTCATGTTGTCTTACTAAGAGGGAGTCAAATTGTAGGACTCAACACCAGCCATTGATGCTGTGTTAACGATGAAGATCTTTTTCTTCTCTTTTCTGGCATATTGAATACCCAAGAGAGTGCCTTGAACGACGGCTAAACAAGCGTAGATGTGAGTTAACACCATGACTGAAGAGGCGTACAGGGAGAGTTACCATTGAATAGCACAGCCACACTCTTCCTGTTACCCTTGCCAGCGTTTTCTAGCATCTGTCCCAACCCCTCGCCGACACCTGTAGTGTAACAAGGTGTCACTAACAGCTTTAGTGTCGTCAGTTCGTTTGCCACATCTAACCTGCGTTGTTATAGACCATCTAAACCATCCAAAGCGTTAGAAACCGAGGCCATAACCGTACAAGCGTCCCTTTACTTACATCCAATCGTCCGAATTTGGCCAAACATTGATCAAACACATTCTTGAGCTGAGCGGCATCGGAGACATCGCCCTTGATGGAGATCGCTACGTCCTTCCCTTTGGTACCGTGAGCCTTGTTGATTTCGTCCGCAACGTCACTGTCTGCGATATCCGTGAGCATGAGCTTGCATCCTGCTTTTGCTAAGTAGTTCGCAATGTTTCTGCCGAACCCTTTGGGGCTAGCGCAACCAGTTATAATCGCAACCTTTCCTTTCAAATCACTCTTGGCCACCTCGTAGTAGATACCCATTACTTTTCGGAATGTTCTATAAAGCAATTTGTTGAGATGCTATGATTTCACTGTAACAACCAACAGCTCTGACAGACTTTGCTGTTGGCTTACCCGACTATCGGCTACAAGATAGTCGATTCGCTTATAGAACTACGATAACTATAGACGTGACTGCCGCGTATCTGACTAGTCTCTGGAGTAAGATCACCACAACAGTATAAAGTTGCTATTTCTATACTTTACGACTTTGGAATGCGGAGTCGAATACCCTTCTTTCGACCCAGCAGGTAAGTAGGCAGCGCTAGCTGTACTTGTGTAGGATGGCACTTGAGCTGTCCGCTGCTACATCCCATCAACCCCATTTTTTTCTGTATTTTCTTTGACGAATGTGGCTTAATTTTCTTTGATGGATTGGGATCGATGCTTCATGAACGTTTCCGTCTAGCTTTCGTTTTCGTTTGTGATCGATTGGGCTTGTTGTTGTATTTCATAATCTTGTAAACAAGAATAACAAAGATAATTGCACTTTACGACTGTGTGATCTAGATGGGTATTCGATGCCGCATCATGCGACGTCGAATACCCATTTTATAGCTAGACGACTTGAGCTGAACAGTCACCATGTTGATTGTTGTCAGAGATTGATTAGGATCAACCTCAAAGATCTCATAGTTCTTGACAATGTTGGCCAGAATCAAAGTCATCTCCATCCTATAACAACTACGGTGTAAGCTCCATGTGGCAGTGTTCGTTTATAAACCAAAGTTTAACTCCTCAAGTCAAGCCTTGGATCTGACGATCCAGCATACCACGCAAAGTTTTGACCGATACAGTTCCTAGAACCTGCACTGAATGGTATGTCTGTTTCAAGTAGAAAGTGAATGTTAGAAAGTGATTGTAGAAAGTGAGTGTAAAACAAGTATAAGGAAAATTAACTTACAAGCTCCAAACTTGTCATCTTCTGACTTGCCAGTCCATCTATCTGGTATGAATTTGTATGGATCTGGGAAGATCTCTGGGTCGTGATACATGTTGTAAGACGATACGATCAGCAAAGTATCTTTTGGAATGAAATATTCTCCCAATTGGATATCCGCTGGTGCGACTCTGTCAGCTCCGGCGACCACTGGAAGGAGGCGCATGCTTTCTTTGAGAACACCTCGAGAAAGTGGATGGATTAGAACGAGGGCGTAACTAGAGTCTATTCAACACTTACAATTCAGGTATGGTAACGCCTTTGCCACCGATGCAGTGATCAATCCTGTCCTCTCATCAATTGGGGTCGCGTCAACTTCTTCTACCAGTTTAGCCAATATATCCGGATTCTTCAACAATAGAATAAGACAGTAGCTAACCGAGAAAGAGGTTTAAATTGAAATCTATACTTCCTGTTCAAGAACACCATTACACACACCTGATACTATTCGATGATGTTTCACTACCTGCTACCAAGAATAATATCATGTGGCCGATAGCGATCTCATCACTTATTCGACCTTCTGACTCTTCCGTGCCGTCGACTAGAGCCTGCACCAGATCAGCCCTTTTCACTTCGCCGGAGCGTCTCTTCTGAATGACTGTTCGAAGAAAGGCCACAATCTGACGCTGCTTCTCTCTTCCGGCCCCATTGACCGGTATGAATGTCAAATCTCGAAACCACAAGGCTGGCGCCGTGATAGCAGACCATCGTAATATATATTCTATATCCTTTTCCATTTGCGAGTGGCCATTGCTTATTGCGTCAAAACCGGCTCCAAATGCAGTTTCTCCTATTACATCAAGGCTGAAATTGTGGATATCCGTCCACAGATCCACAATTGTATCCCTTCCTGGACCATTGGCAAGCAAATCATCCCATCGTTTGAATAGAACGTGCGTCTGAGCGACCATGAAGGGTTCAAGGTTCTTGAGGTAGTTTATACTGAATGATCCTGACAAGAATCTTCTCATTTTGCGGTGAAAAATAGGGTCAGTCGTCATGAGTAGGTCAGGTTGCAATCCTGGGAAAACTAAAGCCTACAAAGACGAAGCTGTGATGATAAGCCCAACAGGCAATTAGAGTGTGCAAATTAACCTTGTTACCTCAAGCCCTGTGTGCTTGGGGTAGTCCTTCACTACCAAGATTTCTCTCACTAGATCTGGCCTTCCGATTAAAATAGCATCTGGTTTGAAACATTTTATTAATCATTATGTGACAAGGTCAGACTTTGACATGTACAATTTACCAGGTCCAATCCTCAAGACACGTCCAGGAAACTTGAGAAATCTGGCGCAATAACGTTCAAGATCACCACCTTTGAACCTCTGATACATAAAGTAAACGACTCTCATCCATAGTGGTGCGATGAGATTGAAGTATCCATCCGATGGAACCTTTCGCAAGGGGTTTACTAGGTTAAAGAGCAGGATCTGTTAGCCTCAAGAGATTAATAACAAAATTCCAACGTCTTGGACAAGATCAGTGGCTCCTTCTAATCACATTCAACCGCACATGGGGAACGTGACAACCAACTTGCTTGCCATGCCCAATACCAGATCAAAGGAGCATAAGGAGAGGATGATTTCAATTCTTCACATACCAAATATCGCATGTATGACACTAGAAGCCCACCAGGCTGTTGTAAGACCAAGCGTGATTTTCAAAAATCCAATGCTTTTGATTTGCTCCAAAACTGTTGATGCCAACTTGCTCATATCGAGAACACCAGGTTCTACAGGTGGATCTAGTGGGCTGACAGCGTAGCAGTTAGACAACAGCGGTTGATGATTCAGCTGCGATCTGTAGAATCGGCAAGTGCCACGTTGGAAGGGTGCGTTCTTGCTGTTGTGTACGAAGCAATAGTGAAGAATCGCATACTCACCTACTATCTACAACAGCTAATTGCTTGCTTGCTCAGGCTCCAATCGCTGGTTCACTTATAATTGATCAAGTAATTACTAGAGCAAGAAGTAGAATCTGTGAGCAAAGGTCTCACGTACTTTTCGCGTCAATTCGCGTGACAAGAGACAATAATATAAGTCTGAGCTCTTCGTAACTTTTTGTGCCCTTCGTTATTCATCGTATTCACCGTCAGTTGATGCTTTGAATGAACGTTGAGAGTTCGAAAATGGATTCGGACGATGGTTCTGACGACTTCCAGGATGCATTGAGTGAGCCAGACGACTCGGAATTTTATTCTCCTGTAGCAGAGTTGCCTCCAACGAGACCTTGGTCGGAGGTTTCAACAAAACTCAATGGCAACAATCACATTTCAAACGAAACAACTCCAAACGTAGCGGATCAGAGCACTCGCGGGCCCGATCGGAATGCTCAGACATCCTCCTATTCCAAGAAGCCTGTTAATGATACGCACAAACCAGCTACTTCCCACAACATTTCGTCCTCACTGTCGCAACATTTGCAGGCTGCTCCCAGTAAGAGTTTGCTCCCTTCTCTGAGAATATTCTTGCATTCTGACATACACTCTTCGTTCTAGGAGTTACCGCTCCGTTGAAGTTGGAGTCTTTGGATCATAGGTTTGGACTTCTGCGAGCACAGAGAGTCTTCTTGCCCTTTGTTACCTAGAAACACTGATGCTAACGATAATTCTGTTTTTTGAACAATGCAGGTCGTCGGCTGAACGACTGGCACCGTACGCAAATGGATCTGAAACTAGTAATCACGTCGAATCCAAAAGACAACAAAAGCGTCCTATAAGACCGCACAACGACGATTCGATCTTAGGAGGATTGTCTATACGGCAAGCGACATCGCATGGTAGAGGTGCTATAGTAGATGAAGACGGGCATGTGCGGTATCAATCATCGCCAAAAACGACCTCGGTCATAAAGAGTCAAGCCGATGCAGACTCTTCTGTAACAAACAAGGGAATGGACATTAGGCAATACGATCCACTATCCGCTCAAGTATTCGAACGAGTTGGTTCAAAATCATCCATGTCTCCTCCATCAGATGGCGAGAGTAGCGATGATAATATGACAACGCCAAAACGAGGATCGATACCAGATGATGCATCACTGCATTCTGGAAGTAGTACGTCTAATGTGACCTCCTCAACAACAAACGCAAACTCCTCAACTCTAGCCGAAGGTGTTGCATCCAGGACTCGAAACATGTTTGGCAGACTCAAACAGAGAGCCAGTGCTATATTCAAGGACCCTCCTACATCATCAAATACCAATAATGTATCTGCTAGTCATAATAATAACACTCATAATTCTAGATCCTCGACTGCTACACCATCTACACCACCCCTTCAGACCGAAGCCACTATAGTTAACGATCATGGTGACGACGGAGATGCAGCCTCTATTGCTTCATCTGATGTATCTGGCTTGACGAATATGGGAAGTACCAACTCGTTTGCCAAGGCTCATGCTACTGGCGGACGATACCTCAAAGTCCGCAGTAATATGAAGAAGACAAAGGAGCTAAATCGACTTGTTTTTGTGCAAGAAATGGGAGCTCCTTTGCCTGGAATACCAATGGTATCAGTATCAGGTGCAAACGTCGTGTCGAGTGGTGATTCGTCATTTTCTGGTATACATAGAGGTGCGAGATCTGCGCCAAGTACTAGTACAGCAGCTGCTTCAGTTACATCTAGAGAAGGATCATTCAAGGAGCCGTCGATAAGTAACAAGTCTAGTAGTGCTCATACAGCGGCTATGGGTGGTGACGCTTCTGATGGATCAGCATATATGAATGGTATATCTGGTGCCATATGGGCCATGAGAGTGTCTGAAGATGGACGATTTTTAGCAGCTGCAGGCCAGGATTGTGGTGTCAGGATATGGTGTCTCAGTGGAGATCCGAAACATGATGTGATGATACCTGCCCCTACTGAGCCTAATACGCCCAGTTCACCTTTAAGGATGAAAAGCTCCAATAGCTCGGTTATCAGTGACGACGGAGGTGCCGGAATGCGTAAAGGCTCAGCAGTACGGACACCAGTATCTGCAGATGTCGATGATTTACTCAGTCCAACTCTACGGGTATTACATAATGATTCTAGGCAAGAGTCTCGTAATAGCGTAAATCGGGCACCATCCTCTATTCGCCCCAGTGGGTCAGTTACTTCTGAAACCTGGTCGAATGCTGAAGGTGGCAAACAACCAAGAATGGAACCCGTTCTGGAGGATTTGTCGTCTCCAGGTTTACCACCTCTACTCCCAAAACGTCCAACACCCCAATCGATGGCTTCCATAAACTCATTCGCCTCAACAGCACCACCACCGATATTCCAATCACGTCCATTACGAGTATACCGTGGTCACGCGTCTGATGTGTTGGATGTATGTTGGTCCAAAAACGGATTCTTGTTATCGTCATCCATGGATCGTACAGTCCGATTATGGCATGTCTCACGGTCTGATTGTCTATGTTGCTTCCAGCACACAGACTTTGTAACATCTATACGGTTTCATCCCACAGATGACAGGTATTTTGCATCAGGATCATTAGATGGGCGGATTAGAATATGGAGTATACCTGAAAAGAAGGTAGAACGATGGAATGAATTGCCTGGATCTGGATTTGTAACTGCTGTAGCGTTCTCTCACGATGGCAAATATGTTGCTGCTGGAACGTATGCTGGAGACTTACATTTGTTTGAATTCAATGGATTGGTGTATCGTACTCAGGTGAGTGGTTTGTTTTGGAAGTGGACTGATACACCCCTTTTTTTATTCATCGAACAGTGTTAACATCCGTCCTCTCAACTACAGGTGCAGGTCAAATCAACGAGAGGTCGCAACCAAGGACGTAAAATAACTGGTATAGAACCATTACCCCCATCACGTAGTATAACAACACCAGAAGACCTCTTTCTAGTAACCTCAAACGACTCTCGTGTGAGACTGTATAATATTCGAGACATGTCGCTAAGACGTAAATTCCGTGGTCCTGAAAACCGTAACTGTCAAATACGAGCCGCCTTCTCTGATGATGCCACATTCATAACATGTGGCTCCGAAGACAAGTGTGCATATATATGGAGAACAGAACCACCCCCTGATGCAGGTCGACAAATGAGTGGTGTATTAAGTGGTATGCTTCACTGGCAATTAGATCGTGAATTTAGAGCAGCAGAAGCATATGAAAAGTTTGTAGCATCAGATGATATAGTTACATGTTGTATCTTTGTGCCTTCAAAGATGCGGCATCTGATTGAAGAGTATGGTCGACGTAAACGGACTCATCATAATGTACAGGGTGAGACGCATCCTGGTGATAGCATACCAGTAGAAGACTCGTATCAAGATCAGCGCTCAAATGAAGCCGAAGGATTGATTCTCATTTGTGCAGATCGTGCAGGTCGCATTCGTGTATTTGAGAACGAAGCATTTGATGCTCCATCATCGTATCCGATATTGTGGGACGCTATACACGCATCATCAGCTGCTGCTGCCGCATCATTATCAACTAGTACTATAGCTGGTGGTAAAGCACTAGAACGAACTGCATCTATCCCGGTCAGGCCGACTTCCCGTCCACTATATGGCGCACCGTCACCTCGAGGATCTGTATCATATTTAACACCTGCTAGTCAAACCATGTATGGAGCTGGTGTCAGTAATAGTAGCAGTAATGTATCACTGTCATTGAGTGCTAGAAGTGGTGATAGGCTACATAAGGATGATGATCCGGTTAGGAGGGCTTCTGCTTCGTTGCCTCGTAATGCTTTGACGTCTCCGATTAATGGTACTACTAGTAGTAACAGTAGTAATAATGTCGATCGGGTTAGTTCTGGT